CCTATCCTAGGAGCCCGCGTACACCTCACTACGGTTTCATGGCCTTGCAAACCTTAGTCTAATAACAAGCCCGCCTTCCTACGATTGTGGAGACTCTATCGCACTTCAGACATAGTAAAAATCCGAAAGATTCGAGTTGACGAGCAATCCTCGTTTTGCTCGTAGGGGTTGAAACATGCCTGAAAACTCAGAACAATGGTGAATTTAAACCGTGGTGGCTTGACAGTCATCTCAAAATTGGGCTGTGCATTTCCTCTAAAAAAAGGAGGAAAGAAAAAGAAAAAGGAATAAGTAGAAGGAAGACTTAAAGCCAGCAACACAAGTTTCCCTCATTGTGCTTTCAGTTTACCTGCAGCAATGGCGTCTGGATGTAGGAAGGCAGGTGACTAGTCGCACCACTCGACCATTGCAAGTCGCGGCTCATTTCTTCTCAATCTGTGTGCTTGTACCCATTCACATTGAAAAATAAATACTTGCCTTGTATCTGCCTGCAGTTGGGTGACAATTTTCTGGGAGAGATTATTAGGCCTTTGGCACCTTGTGAAATATGGGAGACTGACAATAACAAAATAAATCGTGCAGGATGACCGTCAGTCTGCTGAAAGGCAAAGACTGGTGAACAAGGTTAAGTCAACGCACAATCGTTCTGTCAACAGTATGCTTCATTATAGATCCTGTCTGGTGATTCATCCTAACTTTGACGAAAAACTTATCACAACAGAAGTAGAAGTGTAGAGGTCTTAATCACTCATATTTCTAAATGAGAAAACGAAAGTGAAGAAAGAGAAGAAAGATGAAGAAGAAGAAAAAGAAAGAAGAAAAAGACTCAAAGCCAGCAACACAAGACCCCTCAAATTTCCCTTTATGTGACTTGTCATTTACTTATCCTCATTGTTTTAGTTCAGTTTAAATTCAGCACTGGCGAGTGGGTGTGGGAAGGCAGGTGACTAGTCACACCCCGCGACCATTGCAAGTCACGGCTTTTTTCTTAGTAATCTGTGTTCTTGTA